AAAAAAAAAAAAAAGAAGTCAGACTTAGAAGGCCAGTTCCTGAGATCTACTGCTTCATGGTAAATTCCATGAACCCATGGAGCTGCCCTCCATTGAGATAAAAGTCTAGCAACAATGATCTCAGGCTTTTAGCTATAGTAAGATGCAGTCTGAGCCTGACTGGAGAACTCAAGGCAAGAGGAGACCCAGTGCCAATAAGGCTGACTTCTCTAACTGCCCTGTGGGAGATATTGGTTGAGGATTTTAATTTAAATGATTTCACTACAAAATGGCAGTTTTCTAGCCCCAGCAGTTCATTTGACAGCCAGCCACCTACAAGAGCCAAATTTCCACTATAAATGTAATGCTTTATTTTCAGGCCTTGGACCATATTTTTCCATCCCATGAAGTGTGACAACAATGATTTGGAAAGTTGAAATAACAGAAAAAAAGTACACTGAGTGATTGTTTTTTGTTACTTCTCACCAATAGTTAGGTTCTCCCAGATGCTGAAATAATTTGGCCTCCTGTAAGCCAAAACGCATCTTTCTGCCTCAAGACAGGAAAGTCACGAAGGCTTAAGGTGATGACAGTATCCTGGACCCAGTCAAGTCAGACAAGCATCTCTCCTCCCAGGCCTCATTCCATGCACCCCTTCCCCTCCAAGTCTACAATTGGATCAAGTCCGGCTTGTCAGACTGTCAGAAGATTCATCAGATCTCTGATGTAGAAACTCTTTATTATAGGCATTTCAAAAAACTGGGGTGTGTACAAACCAAGTGGGAAATGCCTGATTTGTGGAATTCTTTCTGGTGCCCAGGAGACAGTTTTCCATCAAAACACTCACTGGGCATTTCAAAATTACTAATAAAACATGTAAAAGAACTGTATGTGCTCATTTCAGAGCCATAAATGACTATATTCATGGACGTTTCTTTGCCCATTGCCCTTTCCTGTCCAGGGGAATGTGCCCTAAGCTTCCTAGGCAGGAATGTCGCTTGGAGTCAAAAGGTTTTGTCACAGCCTTCTGAGAAGCCTGGACACAAAAACTTCGATTAGCCTGAAGTGAGAATTTGGAATCAGGTGGGGATCTAGTTGAGAGGAAATGACTCATAATTAGGGGGATAGATTATGTTAGGTAGGGAGACAAATGGTTTCTGGAGTGGTAAAGGGTTTCTCTCTTTTTTATCTTGCTGATGAACTTCCTATCCTACCCACTCAAGGAATGGGAGAACTGGTCATCTTTTCCGGAATACTTAGGACTGCTGGCTGACTCCCAGACCTGGAGTGACAGTTCCTCAGGCCAAAATGATCAGAATGTGACAATGAAAAAACTGATGGAGGACTTGGGAAAGCTTCTCTACAAGGGGAAACTGCAGTGGAAAAAAAGTCTCAATAGAGGCAATACGATGACTCTGACCTAAGGAACTATAAACAGCAGAAGTTGGCCAACGAGAACCGAAGGCAACCCCATTTAAAAAGCTGGATGCAGGTGGCCTGCAAGTGCAGTCAGAGCAGTGATTCTTAGCTGTGGCTTGTGGAATCATCTGGGGGAAGCTGCAAAGATACTGATCCTGGGTATCTCCACAGAAATTAAACTGGCCTAGGGAATAGCTGGGGCATCAGGATTTTAAAAGCTTTCCAGGTGATTCTACTGTGCCACTAAGGTTGAGAACCACTGATTTTGAGGTTATGATTCCAAACTGGTCACAGGTGACACTTAGTGAAAACTTTTTTGCAGGGCACGGTGGCTCACGCCTGTAATCCCAGCACTTTGGGAGGCCGAGGCGGGTGGATCACGAGGTCAAGAGATCGAGACCATCCTGGTCAACATGGTGAAACCCCGTCTCTACTAAAAATACAAAAATTAGCTGGGCATGGTGGCGCGTGCCTGTAATCTCAGCTGCTCAGGAAGCTGAGGCAGGAGAATGCCTGAACCCGGGAGGCGGAGGTTGCGGTGAGCTGAGATCACGCCATTGCACTCCAGCCTGGGTAACGAGAGTGAAACTCCGTCTAAAAAAAGAAAAACAAAAACAAAAAACAACAACTTTTTTTTTTTTTTTTTAATTTCTAAAGAAGGGAGTAAGAAGAGACTGGAAAATCGGTCATTCTCTCACAGTTTAAGCTTAGGTGAGGAGCCTTTGAGTATTCTGCTTTGTATACAAGCCAAGCATCACACTGGTGGAGGAGGCAGGAAAAGCAAGTTGAGTAAGAGCCGGGGTGGAGGGGGCACTCGACCAGGTCCTGGTAGGGGCAGGGGTAGGCGGGTGAACTGAGGCTTTCTACCAAGCTCACCTGCAGTCTCTCCCACCAGATCTGGCGGATGATCTCTCGTCGCTCGGGGACAAGTTTGTACTGGATAACCTCCTCCAGCTCGGACAGCATGTGGCAAGAAACCATGGCCTGATGGAAGCAAATCACATTCCAAGCTAATTACTGCATGAACAATCCAAAAGACAGGATTAATTTAAATCATTCCTTCTGGTGTCAGGGTATCTGCCGATCAGAGAAAACAGGCATGTTTCCAGCAGCCTGTGAGTTCTCAATAGCCCGTTCTGAAAAAAGCATGAAAATAAGCCTCAAAAATGACAATGTGCAGAATAGTTGACACTTACCCCATATGCCCGACTGTAACTCTCTCCTGCCATCGCAGTTAATTCAGTATCCAGCAGGTCCCTGGCCTTGTCAATGCACTAGAAGAGAAACAAAGAACCCTTGGGACTGAGCTCTGGACTTGGGAGCTTAGGGTTATTTCAGGGCATCCCAACTAGCTGCAGAAGTTATCTGTCTCACTTAAATTCCAGGGATGCAGAGAGAAATTCACTGAAAAAGGCCATTTTCCCAGAACTGAATGGCTTCAGAAGAGTAATTATCCAATTTCTTATCAAAGACAGAAATGTATGGCATCCAAAACTTTAACATCTATCTAAGGTAACACACACAATCTTAGGGGGCATGGGAATGTGGGCTGTAAAACTGAATCATGGGTTCTTGTATCTCAAGAGGACATAACTGGGAATCTACCTTCTTTTTGGTTCTTTTTTTTGGAGACACGGTTTCACTCTGTCACCCAGGCTGGAGTGCAGTGGCACAATCTTGGCTCACTGCAGTCTCCACCTCCCCAGTTCAAGCGATTCTCCTGCCTCAGCCTCCTGAGGAGCTGGGATGCTGGGATTACAGGTGACCACCACCATGCCTAGCTAATTTTGTATTTTTAGTAGAGACAGGGTTTCACCATGTTGGCCAGGCTGGTCTCAAACTCCTGGCCTCAAGTAATCCGTCCACCTTGCCCTTCCAACATGCTAGGATTACAGGCATGAGCCACTACATCTGGCCTGGGGATCTATCTTCTTTTAACTTTTCCTTGCTGGGCATGTTTGTGGAAATAGATTCTGCACACACTTCAATGGCTCCAGGTGGTAGCTCTGGCTTCTAAGTACCCTCTGTCCCTATGAGGGAATGCCTCTGAAATTGGCAGAGATGCCCAGTCCTGTCCATGTGAAGGGGAGCTCTTGTGTCTCTGACAGAGACAACCAGGATCTTGGTTTTCATCACATAAATCAGAGCCTGTGGGATGCCACAGGACTGCAGTTTGAGTTTTTTCTGTGCCATGAATTAAAAACCTCTCATGCAGAGCTTTTCACGTTTTTGAATGTTTAAGGTTAATTATACTGTCCCAATGCCTCAGATCATTTACCCAGGCACCTCATCTAACTGTGTCTAACGGGGTGGATGGGATCACTTCATTATCTCATTCTGCAAGTCAGCACACTATTTGCAAATAAGTACTAGCTTCCTCAGAAGGTAATCAATGTGTGACATGCCTGCATGGACAGAAGACCCTTGTGACTGATTTCTGCTGCACAGTGAGACTGCTGGCGCTCTGAATCCTAGCTTTTGGTGAAATACAGCTTCTCTCTACAACAAGGGATGCAACAAGCTAACTCCAGAAGCAATTGAAATGGTAGCTTCCAGAACACATTCCTCCCATTCGGGACAAAAAGTAGCCCCAGCTGACCTGCTGGCAGTCTCCTTAATGAATGCAATGCATCAAAACCATTCAAATGCACTCAGAGAGCCAAGTAAACACAAGACCTGAAGTACAATAGCCTATATACTGAGCCTATATACAATAGCCTAAGCACTGTGTGCTTACAAGCACTACAGTCTTTTCCTTGCTGGGAGATCTGGGTACATGTAGGTTTTTACCTGTTGTGCCAAGGAGAAGAGGTCTTGATGCAGTGCCAGCACAGCTCTATAGAATGCCCCATCATGGGTGTCGCGAGGGATCATACAGGTGTATTCTTCCATGCTGTCCCACTGACCTATTACACACAGACAGACAGAAAGCATCAAGAGGGGTGGCTGGCTGGGCTAAAGGCAGCATCTCAAATAGGTCTTGCCATTGTATTTTCCTTTAGCTTGGGATATAAACAAGACAAATGAACTTAAGCCTCATGTACCAAAATCTTGCAGAGCCCCAATGTACACTATGCGGGTTGACTTAACAAAAAAAGCCACATCTGTCTTCCAAACACAGGCCTCCACGTCTGCCCAGGGAGCATCTTGACAGATGAGGGAAAGCGAATGAGTGTGAAGTCTGCACATCAAGTGAGCTGAATGTAGCACCTCATTATCCTAGAGAACTTCTCCAGGTGAGACAAAATTGCTTTCTCTGCTACTAGTGAGGCAACTCACAGTTCAATGGTATGTTGGAAAATTACATTTTCCTCTAAACAACTGAAAACAGCCATTGCACAGATGATAGGGGACAGGATTAGACAAATAGCTTGCCCATTTCATTCTGGCAATATCTTTGCCTCAGGAGGGAGGAGATAAATATTTTAAGAGACTCCATTATAACAAAAAGATGGGGTAGGTCACAGCACAGTGCTCTCTGTGTCATGTTAGACTGGGGAAAAGGCTGCATCCAGGAAGAAGTATTCACTTCTCCTGGTGGGGTGAGCATGTATCAAATGCCAGGATTTCCAAGTCCATCTGCAGAAAAGATATCAGCTTCATTAGCTGCAAACTGCAGGGCTGCCAATTTTATAAGACATTTTCCTGCCTCTCACTCCAGACCATCGGCTCATCCATTCTCTGTGCCTCTGGGCACAAGCAAATAGCTAACGATGACTCCTCAGGAAGCAATTTGTTTTTGAAAAGTGTTCCGGATCTAACCCAGAGCTCACGAAAGGAAAGGATATAAGCTCCGTGACTCAAGGAGGGACAGAGGAAGAGAATGGAGGTGGAGGTAGAAGGTTATGTAACTTTCCTCCAGGCTCCACAGGTGAAGCTTTTCACCAGGGACAACAGATATTGATAAGCCTCTTAGCAGGAGCCCAGTGTCAGAAACTGACATGCTGCAGGGATTGAAAGGAAATCTCTGCTTTAAAATACTTGGGGAGTAGAAGTGAGGTGGGCAAGAATCGGACAGCAAAGAGGAGAACAGAGACAATAAAATGGTGAAAATGTTTACAATTGCTGGAGAAGGTGAAGGGCAGATGGGGGTTCATTATACTATTATCTTCACTGTTTATATATTGGGAAAGTTCTAAAATATAAGAAATATTCATGAAAGGAGATAGACAACTATCTTCTCCCTTACTCCTGCTTGGGACAAAAATATGATGTGGGGAGCTCCAGCAACCATGCTGGATCATGAGGTGAGCTTTAAAATGGAGACACGGGCTGTGCATGCAAAGCAGAAATCTGGAAAAAGGCTAATGACAATAGAGCCAAAATACCAGTCTGGAAATGCCTACCTCTAGATTTCAATTTATAGGAGAGGAAAACAAATCAGTAACTTGCTTAAGGCAACCAAAGCCAAATCCTACTGTGGTATGAGAAGAAATATATTTGGTCTTTGTCCCTAGTGCCTGGCACAGAGCTATCGAAAACGCTTTGAACTTCCTGAGTGATAGGACTGTTCTTTGTTATTCATAATGAGTTCCTACTGATTATGCTGATAAGGTAGAACAGTTTAAGAAAAAATTTATTTATTGAGAAGGCCAATTATAGAGATGATTTCAAGTATAGTTGGATGCAGGAACCTAAAGAGAGCTCTCCTCATCTCTCTTTAAAAAAGAAAATTATATATATATATATATATATATATATATATATATATATATAAATAAAATTGGTAGCGATGGAGTGTCACTATATTATTGCCCAGGCTGATCTTAGACTCCTGGGCTCAAGTGATCCTCCTGCCCAAGCCTCACAAAGTGGTGGGATTACAGGTGTGAGTCACCACACCCAGCCTCCTTGTCTCTTGTTTCTGCTTTCAACTAAAAGTATAAATGGAGACAGATAGAAGCATACCCTAGTACCCTGCTGAATGGGTGGACATATGACCCCATTAACCTTGCAGAATACCCATGCTTATTGGCAAAGAGATTGGTTCTTTGAGTAGCATGTGACTTAAACTTTGCTTAGCGTTGTCTCTCCCTCCTTCTCCCCTTCCAGGATGGGGCTGGTTACCAGAAAGACCAAGTAATTACTGGGTTTGAACTTTCAGCCCCATCCACTGACATCCAGGAAAGGTGAAAAGGTTGAACACTAAAGGCTATAAAAACTCTTGAACAATGAGCTCCCAGGTTGATGAAGGTGCTGGGAGGGTGATGGTAAACCCCAGTACCAAAGCACAGGTGCTCCTACACTCCAGACCCTTCTAGGCCTTCCCTCATTGTACCTATTCATCTGTATCTTTTATAACACCCTTTAAAATAAACCAGTGAATGTAAGTAAAGTGTTTCCTTTTGTTCTGTGAGCTTTCCCAGCAAATCATCAAACTTGAGGAGGAGGGTTATGGGAACCCTGATTTACAGCTGGTCAGTGAGAAGCACAAGTCACAACCTGGGACTTGTGACTGGCATCTGAAGTAGGGCGGTATTTTGGGATGAACCTTTAACTGTGGCATCTGATGCTATTTCCAAGTAGATAGTGTTGGAAATGGACTACTTGACTGGTGTCTGCTCAGAATGGCTTGGTGTATGGGGAAAGGCATCTGGCATCCGTGTTCCGTGTGAGTGTGCTAACTGTGTATTTCTCACCCACTAAATCTCAATTTTGATTTTGCGCACTGTTTTCCTTGGCCTCCCCACGAAGATCCGATTTTCCCCATGTCTAACAAGTTAATAAAAATCATCAAGTAGAAAGGACAGATGGAAGGTGTAGAAGTAGGTGGACACAGACCATTTTCATACTTCCATATAGACCTGGCATCTCCACCTAGAGCCAGCACCTTACTCTTCTGATGTGAGCCCCTAGCCTCATTCACCCCATCCTTGATAGGGGTGCCTGTGAGGGAAGCTTTACCTAAACCCCACGCAGCTGCAGCAGCCATCCGGGCCATCTTGGCTTGGGTCTCATCATTAACCAGGGTCCACTTTTCACAGCACTGCTGGTGGAGTTGACCCCTGAAGGAAATGAATTCTACAGTCAGATTAATCCAAATCTCCTCCTTAAACTACCAATCTTCCTCTCCTGCCCCTTGGGTTAGTTGAGGACTACAGAGGAACTGGACACCTTTAATAAAAAAAAAGCACATTCTATCAGGTCACTTAATAGAGAATGAATGGGCTATTTGCTGTTTCTATGACCTGGTGCTCATAATTTGTCTGAGTGAGTTTATCAAGGATAGGAACCATGTCTAACTCTGTGTGATATGAAATGTTCTGAACATCTGGCTCCCTTCATAAATATTAAATAACTCCTCTCCTATGTCAAAGAATTCTGGGCTCTTTCCCTTTGGCAGGCCTACAGAGAAAGCAATCTGAAGAGACGCATCTGGACATTCATTTTGGGCTCAAAGCTATAGGGAGAACAGGCTCCTAAAAGTATTATACAAATGGTTTCAGTCTGAAATGAAACCCAAATGAAATCAATCTGTACAGAAGAAAGGCTCTACAATGGTCACATCTACCGGAAAGCTAGATGCTGCTTATTCTCAGAATTTTGCACAACTACTGAGTGTGAAGGAAGACTATGAGGTATTGAGATATAAATGGTGCTTAAGAGACCCCAATAAACAAAGAGAGTGCTGAAGCCCTAGAACAGGGTCTTGCTACTGACTACTGAAACTCCCTCATGTTTCACTTCTGAATGAAAAGAAATAAACTCTGCTATTATGCACATACGAGCCCCTGATTTCACGTGAGCTTCGAGATGCAGCTAGGAGACTCCTTAATTTTTCCTGCTTTCTGAAAGACATGCTGTAGGATGATTTAATTTGGCACTGGAGGTGGAGTCACGAGGAAGGGGAGAAGTTCTAAGTGGCCCAGGTCAGAAGCCTCATGGAGCATGAGCTGCTCTGCACTCTATAGTGGTGTAGGAGGGCGGGGATAAAGATGCTGAAGTCAATCCCTGCAGAAGGAATCTAGGCTGAGCTCACCAAGAAGCTGACTGCAGATCATGCCTAGGAGAAGTATTCAGGGCCATTATCCAGCATCACAGTACGGCAGATAGTAACTTTGTCATCTCTCTGGCATGTGATCAAGAGAGCCAGGGACACAGGCACTCTGGCTCAATACAGAGCTGATACCAAGAAGAGGAACTGGTAGTCATGACGCCCTACGCATTTACTGAAGCTCCATTACTGGAATAGGATAAACCTTTGTGTCAGTTTCCTGCCACCACTTAGAAACCTTCACTCCCAGGCCCTGCTAGGGGTTCCCTTAGAGCAGCAGTTCTCAAACTACTGAGTGCATCAGAATCCCCTGGAAGCCTTCTTCAGGTGGCTGGGCTCCACCCTCTGAGTTTCAGACTTAGTAGTGCTGGGGTAGGGGCTGAGAATGTGCATTTCTAACAAGTTTCTACGTGACGCCAAAGTTGCTGGACCAGGGGCCACAGTTTGAGAACCACTGGCTTAGAGCAGAGGCACAGCTCGGCTGCACAGCATATTTTTGTAGGGATCCTGGCCTACAGGTAGGAGAGAAAGCTGCATGATCTCCAAATGCTTCTTCCAATCCTATAATTCAAAATTTACAGCTGGTGAACACAGGTAACTTAGATGAATGCATTCTCCATGCAAGCTGTTCCTTCTAACTCAGCCTCCCTCTATTATTTTGTCAGGATCACCTGATTCTGTGCCACAGGACCAAGGATTTAGTTTTTCGTTTCATCTAGAGAAGGAAGCAAGTTCAATGTTTAAATCCCACAAACTTTTACCCCAAGAGACAAAGCAGGGAGCAGTGTAGGAACAGCATCCCAGGAGAGCACGCCCTAGCAGTGAGCCCCGCACTGCCTTCACCAAGCGGCTGTGTGGGAACAGCTGTCAGAGCCTGGTCAGTACACAGTCAAGAGTTCTTCTCTTCCACAAACATTTGTTAGAAAAAATAATGCAGAATATACTGGGTTGCGCCTCTCAAGGGTGGTTGGGTGGGGGGGCAAACCAAATAAATAAAAAACATGAGACTGTTTTCATTGCACACAGGGAGGACTGGGTAAAAGGTCCACCCTCCAGGACTTTGATTTTCCCTCCTAGTGTTATGGCAAAAAACGTAGAAAGTGCTTGCTTCGGCAGCACATATACTAAAATTGGAACGATGCAGAGAAGATTTGCATGGTCCCTGAAGATTTAAAACAAACAAAAGGCTTAGGAAGTATTCCTTCTTTTGGCATTGCTCCCTGGGTTGAACGCCTATGATCTCACTCCCGAGGAATCTTTTCTCAATGATCTAGAGGCTGTGTGAAGAGGGGCTTCACTTTGGCTGCAGGTGTAGCTGCCTGCACCATAGGGCTGGGTGGTAGGGGGTGGTGGTTCCCTAGCTCTCACAGTTGGCCTCCTGCAGGCAGATAAGCATGTGGAAACGGGAAGGGTCTCAGCTCACTGGTAACTCCAGATCATTCTGGATGCCACCTGTGATGAACATCTGCCTCACGCATGTTTAGGATATATGCACAAAATAAATTTAGAAACTGCACTCTAAACAGAACGGACTGAATAAACTGTATCAGAAACCCGCATATGATCAGGAAAAATATTCTGCCTCGTTCATCTCTTTTTTCCTTGTGCTGTTATAATTGTTTAGTATCTTTGTTATGATAAAGAATACATGAACCTACACCGGTGATAAAATTCTATAGAATTTACACACACACATACACACAAAATGAGGACAAGTAAAATGAAAATCTGAATAAGATTAGTGAATTATATTGATGTTAGTATTCTTGTTGTCATATTACGCTATAATTCTGCAAAATATTACCATTGGAGGAAACTAGGAAAACTGTGCAAAGGATCTCTGTTCTTTTTTCTTTTTCTTTCCTTCTTCTTTTTTTAATTATTATTTTATTTATTTATTTATTTATTTTTTAAAATTGCATTTTAGGTTTTGGGGTACATGTGAAGAACATGCAAGACTGTTGCATACGTGCACACATGGCAGTGTGATTTGCTGCCTTCCTCCCCTTCACCTAAATCTGGCATTTCTCCCCATGCTATCTCTCCCCAACTCTCCACCCCCCGCTGTCCCTCCCCTATTTCCCCCTAACAGACCCCAGTGTGTAGTGCTCCCCTCTCTGTGTCCATGTGTTCTCATTGTTCAACACCACCTATGAGTGAGAACAGGCGGTGTTTGATTTTCTGTTCTTGTGTCAGTTTGCTGAGAATGATGGTTTCCAGGTTCATCCATGTCCCTACAAATGACACAAACTCATCGTTTTTGATGGCTGCATAATATTCCATGGTATATATGTGCCACATTTTCCCTGTCCAGTCTATCATCGATGGGCATTTGGGTTGGTTCCAGGTCCTTGCTATTGTAAACTGTGCTGCAATGAACATTCGTGTGCATGTT